AAAAAAAAAAGAAATAACACGTGGCCCTGGAAACTTTAGGGACAGTAAGAAATGAAACTGATGCAGATCAGCTTGTGTTCATGGCTTAGCATTGCATTTTAATTAAAACATAAAATCATTAAAAAAAAGGTTAAATAGTTTGTTTGAGGCCACACACGAAATGATTCCAATATGCTCCTTACTACCCCAACTGCCTTCTAGAAGACTCTATACATGAGGAACTCCACTCTATCCAACCAGGAGTATTATCTCATATTTCATATCATTTGGAGGAACTTCTTTGAATAGCAAGTGAATTTGTATTTCTCATGGTAACTTACTCCATGGCTTTCAAACTTATTAACCCACATCTACATCTACAACTACCTACATCTTTAGGCATTTTCATATATGTTACTTCATTCATCCTCACAGTAACTCTAAGATTGTACAGCTAGTAAATGGTGGAGCCAGAATTGTAACCTGGATGTTTCTGATGTCCAAGCCCTGTTTATTCTGCTATGCTATACTGCTTTGGTTATTAGCTGTATAATTTTGGACAAGTCATTTAACCCCTGTAACCTTCATTTACTGCATATATAAAGTGGGTTTATGCCTTTTAAGGTTGTTGTGAAGCTCAAATGTGATAATGTAAAATAGGAGAGTCAAATAGAAACATCAGTTGTGGTTATAGCTGATAAATGTATCAAGGTAGAATAGTTTAAAACAGTATCTCCCTTTCCCCCTTGAGTTAAAAAGGATAACAGCAAAAAAGCCAAAGGAGACTCTTTAATAAGTGGTTGTTCACCAGACGTGCATGGCTGGCTCTGTATGGCTGCACCTTGTAAAAAGGGGGTGGAGTAAGGAGTTTCTGGGGGCATTTCTGGGATGGTTTGCCTATGGTGGCAAAGGTCTAAAAATTTAGGTGAGGCTTACTCCATCACATGGGTCTTGTTCAATTGGCTCTCCTGGTAGGTCAAATGAGGACCGCTATGATAATGGTGACAAGAGCATGGGCCTGATAGAGTTGTGGTTTGTTGATGTGGGAAGCCACCATGACTGAGAAAGGAAGACCAATTCTGGGCAAAAACATTTGTTGAGGCCTACTCTGTGGTAGGCTAAACTGAGAGTGGGATGTAGTAATGAGTCAGCCCCCTGTCCTCAAGGATTTTATAGAGTAGTGGGGTACAGAAAAGCCCTTAATTCTTT